AAACTTTTAGCTGATTCAGTATCAGCGGACAGTTTTTCACCCTGGATGTCCAATTCCCTAATTCCATGCCTAGATTTGAAATGTTTAAGCCAGCCGGAAGTCGCTTTAAAATCAGCTTTACTGCCTAGTTTCTTGTTCATTTGAAGAGCATTTTCGCAGATCAAAGGGCCACTTATTGGTTGTCCTTGGCTACGTACCTGCATGAACCACGTGAAAACTGCAATGTCCAAATCCTTGTTTTCTGCCATTCTCATCGTTTTTCTGTGCAAGCTTCCGTCTTCACTGTCAAGTACACTCGCAAATTTTTTAATGGCATTACTGTTCTTTTTAATGTCCGATATTGTGGCATTTCCAACTCCATATTTCCGAGCTAAGCTTGATCCACTAGCACCACACTTCAACTGATCTATTATTTTAAGTTTATCGGAAACACTGAGAACAACGCGTTTACGTTTACTGGCCATTGCAAACGTTACAACAACTATAGAGCGATCTGTTAAAAGTAAAAAATTTACGGATCCAAAGTTAAATGTTCCTGATGAAAACAAATTTTGATTAAGCACGACACACCTCTGGATACAGAGTCCAAAAATACCAGTGCTGCCAGTTAAAACACATACACAAACACGAAAATATTGGAGTAGCCCAAGACATAGCTAAAAATTGCAGCGCCACAGCACTAGCGAAAATTTAAATTTGCGAACTAAAATTCTTTAGGATAAAGGACGTTTCGGATAAACGACGCTCTACTGTATAGTGTATGACTATTAAGCCGCGGTGACTGGGATACAAACTGCTTAACCGGGGCTTAGGTTTTCCGCGGATTAACTTTGTAGCATTGTAAGATGTGAATCTGTTACAATGGCGGCCTCCGTAACGCTAACACTCAGCGTGGATAAAACAGATTAATTAATACTGTATTTGAATTTCATTGCAAGTTATTGTTTATTAATAAATAAAAGTCTAAATAAATCTTCTATAAATACCTCTTTTAAGTTATAAGCCAGAACTTAAATATTTAATCCGCGATAGTGCATAGCACGTCAATCACGGACATTCGAAATGTCAAAATGACAGCTGTCAACACCTGTCTCGAGTGTTTGAGAGGCCATGCCCAGGTCCATATGATCCAGTGTCAAAAAATTGGGATCCAAGCTTTTTGCGCAGCTTACGCGAATTCGCGGATTACTGGCCCGCGACATAATGGCCCTACACTGTATTCAGTTCATAAGTGATAACGAATTTTTCATAGATTTAATTAGCAGCGTAAATTCAAATAAATTTAAAGTTATATTGATGCTCTTAAACAAAGAAAATTATCAGTAAAAACAATTATAAATGTCGTTTTTTATACAAAAAATGTATGGTAGGACGTTAATAATTCTCATATCAACAATAGTTTTAAATAGCAGTCAGAAAAATTATCAAGCCTTCATTAACATGAACTTTAGTAAAAACTTCGGGATCGAGAATAAATTGGCATTGTTGTTGGACTTCACGTTTTACTAATGAAAATTGTTATGCTGACTTCGTTAAAGAATTATATTACTTTTAAGTACTATCTCAACATTTGTGAAAATTTACTATTTTATTCAGTTGATTTAAATACCGTATTTTTAAATAAGAGTTGAAACAGTATAATGGATTTAGAATAAAACGTGCTGTACAGTACAACACTTCAGTCAACATAAATTTTATGCAATAATTAATTTTTAAACTTCTAAAAATTCTAATGTTTTATTTCGAAGATAATGATTTATGGTCCGTTTCAAATCTTATTTATGAGAAAGTAAAATTTAATAACTTATCTCAATGTTTGATTTATAGTTGAAATCTCACAAAAAAAAAAAAAAACTGTTTAGAAAGTAATAAAGAAAAGGCTATTTTAGGAACGTTCTTTTGAATCTCTAAATTTCACGTTTATCACTTGTTAACTTATAATGGTTTTAAGAATATAAAGACGCAACTATTAAATAATCAGGAACTGAATTGAACTTTCGATCATCTTAACTCGACTTTGACATTGTAATGCGAGTATTGACTCTGTTCATATTTCAAACTTATTTAATTTCTAATTAATTATATTAAAAGACTATGGTTGTTATTTTTAAAAAATGCTTCTTTTTTAGTCTTCTTAAGATGACTTTATAAATAAAAAACATGAAACATAATTTTGACACTAAAGGCTTTCATATCAATAGGGATTCGTAAACAGTTGCCTGACAATGACACATTCATTTCATAAATTACATTGTTGGGTATTAAATATAAAACATTCAATAACCAGAAATGTAATGAAGTCTAAGGAATCGTAGTTAGTCGATACGAGTTACAACTATTACAAATATTTTTTAAAAATTCATAGAATTTATACATTGAAGTTTTACATTTCCGTAGATATTATATCGATGTTGCATTCTTTATGTTTTGTGAAACCTTACCAACCGTATAACTGAATTTCAAGTCTAATTCATAACAATGGAATGCAGGCTAACACTTCAATGATTTATTCGCTGCTTTAATATACTAAAATTGTACTAATATACAGGTCAGAGCTTCGAGAAGGAGGGAGAGCCAGAGACTTTCTAGGGCCGGAAAAAATTTAGATGCCTTTAGTGGTTCCTACTCCTACAATTTAATTATTTTTACTAACAAAGACTAAAACTTTTAAAACTACTTTTTGTTCTTGTACTAGCTGTTACTCGCGACTTCGCCCGCGCGGATTTTGAAAAAAGCAAAGCCCATTTATATTCAGTATTTCAACAACCATAGTAATCTATATATACAATCGAGACGGAGTGATGATGATAATCAGCGCAGAGCCCAACGGTTAGGAGTTGAAATTTTGTACACAGTTAAGGTACGTCACGAGAACGTGCACTAAGAAGGGACTTTTCGAAATCCCCAGGGGGAGTGAAACAGGATTAAGGCTTCAACAATGGAAGTGTTAACAATGGAAGAAAAGGTTTTTTAAAATAATGTATGTTAAAAAGACTTTTTATTCATTAAAATTTTAGTTTACTGAAGAGGAGCATATTTAGCCCGAAACGCGAGATGTAAGCGCGTATCAACTAGAATAAAGGTGAAAGATAGCCAAGTGATCATTAAATTGCACTACATTGTGTTGGATAAACAACAATGGAAGTGTTAAGAGAAAGCAACGTGCAACATCTACAGGAACACATGCGGATTTTTGCTGGAAATCGAACATATTTTTAAATCCATCAAAAATTTTTTAATTAGTCTGGAAATGGAGATCCAATTCTTGCATTCTGTGAAAACGGTAAGATTGGCTGTAATGTAATAATCTTAATCTTCGATATCGTTACTTTTTGCCCGAGCAACGCCGGGCTTATCTGCTAGTTGTTATATAACACCTACCGCAGATAATGATGAGAATTGTTGAGAATCAAACGATAATACAATTACAATCGTTTTATAATCGAACCAACATGCAATAACAAATTCGAATTTAAAACGGTTCGAACATTTTGTTAAAAAATCGAAATATATAAAAATATTTATAACAATGTCTGAAACGGTATCAATTTAATACACCCAAGTACTCAATGAAGACTAAACGTAACAAAAAATCGCATCTAAAATACTAATAGTACAGTAGAAGCCCTTCTTCAGGTTAAGCCTTAACTCTCTTCCTCTCCTCCGTGAGAGGAATTTCGAAAAATTCCTTTTTAGTGTGTGTTTTCATGACGTACTCAAATTGTGTACCAAATTTCATCTCTAGGTTCAGCGGTTTGCTCTGGACAATGATAAATCAGTCAGTCAGTCAGGATAAGTAATTTTATATATTTACATAAGCTAACAATGTTTATGCATATGTCAAAACTAATAGCTACGTATCTGGATATTAATTTTGGACTTATCACATCATGTTTCTTAGAAACTTCACTTTGGCTTTTTTATTTTTATTTTTTAATAAATTCCAGCTTGGAAAAGGGAATAGCAATGTTACGTACAGACATTTGGTATCGAATATATTTAAATTGCCTAAGAAAATAACTGCAATTATTCAGAGATATGATATGATATAAAAATAATAGAAAACATAATTATAAAATTGGCAATAAAATTTAAAAAACAAAATAAAAAATCAAAACCACGCCAAAGAAAAGAAGAAAAGCAATTTTGAGAAACTCTTTTACATTATTGTTTTAAATGTACTATTTCAAGTGAAGAGGAAGTAAAAACCGAAAATGTACAGTACGTATTAAAGTTAGAATTTATTAAAAACTAAAAAAAAAGCCCAAGTCAAATTTCCTAAAAAAAGGTGATGTTATAAGTCTAAAACTAATAGCCAAATATGTAGCTATATAAGAATAAAATAGAAAGAAAAAAGACAATGAGCTATAATAATAAATATAAATTGTTTTCTTTTATTAGTGAAGATACATTTTACGTATTTCATTCGTTCAGAAAAAAGAGGTGTAGCTTAGGAGCTGTAGAGGTGTGCGCGAACTTATATGAGGTCCCAGGACCGCATATAAGTTTTCGGCGGTCATTGATACGGTAAAGCAGTTTCTCAACCTTTTTAAGCCCAAGGACAATAAAATGTCTGAAAAAATTTCACTGACCATTATGTTATGTAGACCTAATTTTTTAAACCTATGTGGAAATTACCAACATTTGGAATATACTATGCCATTTATAACATAATAAATTTAAAAGCATCTTTTAAATAGTGGAAGTGCGAATAGCTTGGGCATTTAAATAAAACCAACAACGTATAAAATGACAAACTGAAACGTTTATTTTCAAATTCAAAATAAGTTTCAGAACTTTTTAAAACTATATTAATAAAAAAAAAGAGAAAGAAAGAAACAACTCCTAATCATTTAAATAATAATTATACAAAAACATTAGCTTCTGTTTTTGGCAATGGAAAAGATAGCGAGTAGTCCCGAACATACTTATTACCAATGGAATAAACATTCTTAGTCTTGTAAACGTCACAATAATAGTAATTATTTGATAGATCGCTGTCAACTCGAGTCCAATCCTTCCTTACATTTATGACATTGAATCCAGTCGTCTTCCAAAGTTTTCCCGCAAGTGATGCATTCTTTTTCTTTATCACTATCTTTGTAGAAAAGACTGAGTATTTAATTTTGTTTTTTGTTTTTTTCCCTTGTAAAGTTTCCTTTATCTTTTCTATGTTATTTTTATATGGAGATGATGTCAAAATCTCACTTTTCTATGTTTTTTGTGGGCACATCACTAGGAACTTTTTAGACGCACCAGGAAGAGTTGACAACTGTTTCAACAAATAGTTGTGTTATACTTTGCGTGACTGGTTGATTGACATTATTTTCTTCTATGCTGGTTAATGCTCGATGTCGGTCATCAAACCTAGTAAAAAATCTAAATATCCGAAAATATCACGATTAAAAGGACAAATTCCTGCGCACTTAAATCCGTTTTCGGCTATTTCGAGCCTAGCTGCTTCAGCAAAGGAGAAATCTCTTGTGTAGCAATGTTACTGTGAGAATATGGGCAAAGGTATTGTACCTTCTAATCGTCGGGTCGGTCGGATCCACTCACGGCGTCGAAGGATGGTTTAAAATATAGGAGGGTATTAAATGCGAGTGGGGAGGAATGTCGCGAGTAAGTTCGATTAGGGTCCGTATAAATTGAATGAGTCAACAGGAGCAGTTACAAAAACACATTTTAAAATTAATTAATTAAATTGGAAGTGAACTATTAAAAGCGAATCATCATTGAACAAAGTTTTAATGTTCATTAATTTAAGTCTGCCTGCGGAGCACCTGGCCATCATCGGAGACCACAGGTTGAGAAACGCTGAAAAACGCTGTGTTGTGAATTTTGTTATCGGGATATAAAAATGTTTAATAAACAACATATATTGCATAGAAATTTTTATGAAGTATGTTTGTTAAAGATCATTTAAGTTTAAATAGAATATTTTATTAATTTTACACAATACAAAATATTTCAAGGATATAAATCAATATAAGATAAACTATAATCAATTTAAATAATTAAACAATTTATATTGGGTAGATGCATATATAAATGGGAAAAAAGACTACTGCTTCCATAATAATGAAAGTTGACACACTTATGACGGGTTATTTTGAGTTTTTACTAAACGTAAATGTTACTTTTGCTGTTCCAACAGAAGTTTGTCAACAGGGAGAATAAAAGCATCGATTCTAGCGGTTTCCTACAAACATCTGTCTGCGGTGTCTACAAAGTCAATATATAAACTTTCATCGCTATGAAACTAAAGTACTTAAAAGATGTTTTGAAGCAATATTTTGAAACATTTTTAATTAAAATGTGACTTGTAAAGTTTTGTTTATATCGCAACTATGCTAATTAAAAACACGTATTTAATTAACATATGTTTAACTGAAGCGTGCAGGATGTACTCTCGTTAATTTATTTTATTTATCCGACCATCTACCTATCATCGTTTTTACCCCTGAAAAAGACCTTAATATGGGGATAAAGAACAAAGCAATCTACCGTAGAATCAATAATTCCTCGATTTGCCGTTTACGTTATGCTTTGTCGTCTTGTTTCTCCTGGAGTTATTACTATACTTCAAGTTTGACAACTGACCAATTAGCTGACTATTTCTACACCATCTTACTAGTTTTTATTGATAAATATCTTCCGACTAAAGAATATGTGAAAAAAAATAAAATTAGCAGGAAAAAATTCTTAAAGAATTTTATATCTGAACACACGCTCACATTAATTAAACTGAAGAAAACTTTACTGAAAACAGTCAAAAATAAAAATTGGACGACTTTCGACGAACGAAACAAATAATTAGAGGATATATATACCTTGAATACTGTATATAAAAAAAGACATACAATATATAACTTTTTTCAATTTTGACGCTTTTCGCTCTGTGGACACAACATAACATGCCAAGAACTTGGACAGACACACAATGTGAACAACCGGAGGTGATGAATTGGTCCCGACATATTTTGGGCAGATAATTCATGAAAATTTTTTTTATGAATTATACGTTTTTCACGAGATGTTTTCCACGACATACGTATCATTTCAGCTTTTTATATTATCAGAAGACAACAAGCAGTCTTCCAGAGAGTAGAACTCGTTGCCATACACAGTATATTAAAGTTGCTGGTCCCCATTTCAAATATTAGTTGAAAGTACGCAGAAAAATATCAATAAAGTTTCATTTACTGGATAGTGTACGAGTATTTATGGTACTCATTATCCCAAAACATAAACATAATAAAACGGAGAAGGTAAATGTAGAGAAATGAAGATGGTTTAAAGAAACGATGATTTTAAAAAGCTGTCTTGGTTCACAGAGGGCTGAAAGAGAAAAAACAAAAATTAAAACTTTCATTAAAATGTTTCTTTATTTGAAAATTTGTGTTTAAAGTAAGACAATATTTATACATAAGTTCTTAAAATATATGTATAACTACTTAAAACTTAATAAATCACTTCATTCCAAGTGTTTATATATTACAGGCGACCCCCCTATAACACGGTAGATACGTTCCGAGTTTTATGAATCCAGCTTTTACGAATCCAGTCAATCACAGCTCGGCACGAATGCAGTTTACGGACTACGGCTGTTTGAAAAGTTTCTTCCATAAAATTAATCGATTCTAGACTAACTCGACTCAACATTTCCAAAATACGCATAATTTTTTGGGAATAATCCCCATAAACTATGCTATAAACAAAAAATTGTAGGATTACTTACCAGTGTGCACCGTTCGACTACGTCGTTGCTTAACTTTTTTCGTCGTGGAGATTGTCATCGATTGGCGCTCGCGTGCTTCCTGATAAATTATTTTTTTTGCGAAAAAATCGCTGAACTTTAGACACATCATTAATATAAATATAATTTTTATGGACGTTAACTAATAAATGGTTTTTAGTAGGTCTGCTGCTCGTTTAAACTCAACGGTTTGTGCAATCCTGTCGCGACACGAGTCGGCGATGACGTTTTACCGAATTATAGGAGTTTTTTAGCATGTTTGTACGAATACTGTCGCAATTTTTTCGCCGTGATATAGGAAACCGAACTATAGGAACCCGTGTTATAGGGGGGTCTACTGTATATAAATATCACATTTGTTACGTAAACTAATAAAAAGTAATCAGGAGAAACAGTTATGATAAATAATTATTAATTTTCTTAAAAATATATTCAAAATTGCAAATTATAAATTAAAACTGCTTTGTTGTTTAATTATTTTACCTTCGAATACAACCATTTTTATAAATAATATTTTAATATTAAAAAAATTCAATATTAAAAATATTGATCGTTATGCAATAATCAAAATTAAAGATATATTTTAAATTTTCAGATGATTTTATTTATTAACTCATTTTATGAATTTTTATATTCAATATTTATTTTTTATTTTATTTCAAAAAAATAAACAGTAAAAAAGGTAATTCGAACTACTTGAATATAATCAAGCTGCTACTTATTAATTTAAATGTGTAGGATAGGAAAAGATTAAAGACTCTTGTCAAACTTTATCTTATACTTATTTGAATAGATTATGACTTGAAAACAAGATTTCAAATTAAAGGGAATAATTAAGAATTTAGAAAAATCTATTAATTAACGCTACGAATTAGTGAAAATCTACCACTTCGAAATAAAAATTTTCAAAGCATCTTGTGATTCTATCTAATTAAAATTAAATATCAAATATTGATATAAAGAAGTTTATTCAGAAAGTTAATTAAATTTAATGAGCCTTTAAATAATGTAGAAATAGTTTAATCTTTCTAAGTATTAATGATTAATTTTAATTCATATAAAGATTGCTATTACTATAAAAAGATAATAACGTAGACCTACTGTACTATTTTCCGCTAATTATTATACACTAATTAAATTATTGTAATATCCTATATATATTTTTCCAGATAAAATATGCACCGAATAGTTCAGGAATGGCAAACCTTTCTGAGCTCGAATGCCATGAAATAAGTATACTTATCTTTAAAACTTTTATGTATGCCAAAGTTTTAGCTTTCGAATAACGATATTTAAATAAATTAAACGAATGTACTTTAATTAGAATAAATGTAAAAAAATTATTGAAAAAATGATCAGGTAATAAAGGAAAGGTTCATAGAAAAAGACAGATGATAAATGGAAATCGTATGATTCGTTATTGCCAGATGATTTCTCCTTACGTGCCACTTTGGTCACGAGTGCCATAGGTTCGCAGCTCCTAGAATAGTTCTTTATATAACCTACAACATAAAAGATAGCAAATAAAAAAGCAGTAAATTCGTTTATTCTGAAAACCATATTAAAATCTCGGCTTTCCAATACTCGAACAAGAAACTTAACGTTAAAGAAATTTGAAAGTCCGATAATTTTCAATTATGCTAGGATGTAACATTTAAATAATGATAAAAGCTTAAAAGGAATGATTTTGTTGCATTAATGAGAAATTTCTCTATTTAAAAGAATATTTAAGTTTAAACAATACTAAAACACTGTGGCACAATGTTAAAATTGTGTTCTCCATCTATTGAGATTTTATTTAAAAATAACTTTTATATTATTAATTAATATAAAACGGCAAAATGTTTAATTTTGAAGGCAGAAATGAGTTATAAAAAAGTTAAAAATGATGATAACGAGTAAAATTTTTATTAAGTCCGATCCCACTATAGCCTCTATCTCCTCAGCTCCTAGATCTTTAATCATCAAAATTTAATAGCATCAGTTCCACACATAAAACTGCTGAGTTTGAAAAGTTTTGACTTATCTGATCCTAAGATATAATGAAAATAGACATATGCACACACAGTGTTTTTAATTTTTTGATAGATTCCTNGCAGGAGAGGAAAAACAGCAATCCTTACAGATACACCGTACAATCTGCAGCTGACGGAAAAACAAAAACAATCAACAGCAGTTTCGGCACCCCAGGAAAACGGTCTTTCTTCACCGAAGGAAACTCCTTAAAATCAAAAGTTACAGGCATCAGCAAGGGTAGGCCTATCAAGAAACAAAAGATAAATGATACAGAATGTGAAGAGTTACTGGTATACTCTGCATCTACAGAAAGTTGGGATAAATGTAGCAGTTGTGATAAATGAGCACACTGTTCTTGTGCCAATATTGAAGAAAACGACAGTTTAACCATTTTAATTTGTCCTTCTTGTGTATAAAAATAATATCCCCATCTTACCCCACGGGTAGGACAAGTTGGTGCATTTACATATAATTTTAAAATATTAAATTTTCTTGTTTTTAAAACGTTTTTCAAAAATTAAATTTTGTATTATATATTAGCAAATGTTGTAGTTGCCGAGAATAAAAAATTATCGTTCTCATCAAAATAATTGCCATCTTGTGACTTTCCAAACCTTAAAGTCTTTATTTTGCCCCACCTTCCCCTATATTGTTTTCAAATTAGTTTTGTAAAGTCACAAATATTTAAACTGGCCGAAAACAAATATTCGTAAAATATTACACCCGTTTAATAATGGACAAGATTGAAAAAAAAATTGAATAAGTCTATGTCATAAAGATTATTGAACCAATCATTAAACTATATTAATCATAAACTTTAACGATCTTGTTGAATTTTACTTTTGACTGATAAAAAATGTCTGCCTGACTTCGTTAAGGAGTGTTTCAGTTTTAGGAATTAGTTCAACATTTACGAGAATTTATTATTGAATTCATTTGACATAAATACAGTATTTTTAAATAATAGCTGAAACAGTCGAACAGACTTTAAACGTACAGTACAACGCTTCTCTTAGCATAAATGCTGTGCAAGAATTACTGTTAAACTTCTAAAAATGCTAATGTTTTACTTTGAAGATAATGATTTATGATCTATTTCAAATCTGCTTTCTGTGAAAGTAGAATTTAATAGCTGTTCATTGACCATAAATCATACTTTGAGATATTTCATTAAAAAAGTCAAAATCTTTTTATTTCAACTACTAAATTTCAGCGGAAAATAAATCTTCTTTCATATTAGATTCTCTTGGCAAACGTAAAATTTCCGGTCAATGCAGAAAATTTTACCTTAAGTATAATTTTTCTGTAAACATTACAGGTAGGCCTCCTAAAACGCGGTACCTTTACAACGCGTTTTCGCTCCAACGCGGTTGGAAAAATGCGGAAATTTTCATACAACACGGTACTTTTACAACGCGGTTTACGGTATTTAGAAACGAATTATCTTCACATAACAGAAAAATCGCAACGGATCACGTGATACGAGCTGCAGTTCGGCATACAGAGCTAAAAGTCTTTGAAAACAGCTGTTTGTGGATGTTGGCATGTTATTCCCTTGAAAGTTTTAGGGGAAGACTGGTTTCTAGACAGATGTGAATCAGTTACCGTAAACACTCACATATATCACTAAATTTTCGATCATTTATACTCTTTCAATAAGTGGGGACCGCAAAAAATGGTCCAAAATACAGTATAAACTTCTATTGGATGTATATTTTTAACAACATAGCAAAAGGAAGTTATTTTTTGCGATTTTTACTGTCCACAAAACTGATTGAAAAATTTTTAGCCATAACCAGGGCTGTGGAGTCGCGTAAAAATCTACCGATTCGAACTCCGGCTAAAACACCAAAACTCCGCGACTCCGTCTCTGACTCCGACTCCGACTCCACAGCCCTGGCCATAACAATGCCGAATGAAAAGAAAGGACCGTCGTTAAAAAGGAAATTTATAACTCTTCAAACAAAGATAGAAATTTTGGATCGAATTAAAAATCAAGAGCGTATAGCTGATATCGGTAGGAATTTTAATTTAAATGAGTCGACGATTCGGTCGGGAAAAAATTTGAAATTTGGTCGCATCCAGATCATCTATTCTTGCGCAAAATGTTGCTCGTCCGAAAGCACCTATAATGGAAAAAATGGAACAAGCACTAATATTATGGGTAGAAGATATGAACAAGAAACGGTTGCATTTAAATAAAACTGCACTTAAACACAAAGCCTTAAAAATATTTGATTATTTAAAACGAATGGGACAGTCGTCAGCTGATGAAACCAGTGTTAAACACACGTGTTTAATTAACATGGATTCAACCGAAGCGTGTGAGATATACTCTCCAGGTAAACTCGTGCAGTTAAACAGTTAAACTCTATTCGCACTGTAAACTATAAGCAGGATTAATATTTAAGTAGAATTAAAATTAAGTCGCATTATCGAAAACAAGATTATCTATTGTTCATACTATGAAATTAAAGCGACTTATTTCGCGTAGTACTCAACATTACATTTTAAATAAAATTATATTTTTGCTATTATAAATTCGTTAAAAATTAATTTACTTTAAGTGATTTAAATTATATATAATCAACTTTAAATTGGTATTTTATCTAACAAATCTTATCAACGTTATTGTTGGTAGCACAATTCTCTCAATATCTTCATTTAGAGATGGTCGAATACTAGCCGCGAATACAGTACTAGAAAATAGTTAGATTCGAGATTTTGAATACAGTACTATGTTGATAAAAAATATATTCGAATATTACGAATATCCCCAATATTGCGCCATAAGTACAATCACAGTGACATACTTATAGGAAGTGGGGTTGACTCAAAAATTAACCCTCCATTACAAATCTCTTAAGTACAGCGTTGATAAAGCATGATAATGTGAAAAATATATCTGTAATCTCTATCTGCAATTTAGTCTCTACGGGGTAACACCAAAATGACATCTCGCACCATCTCAAAATCTTCCTAGGGCAGCCTCTGGTTCTGCCCGTGAAAAAAGTTTTCTTTCCAATTCGGCCCGAGGGCAAAAACTGTTGGCCAACCCTGCCCTAGTTATATTGCAGATTCGGATATATCGCGCTTTTTTAATCTCCCAAATTTTAAAAGCATGTGTGTCAATAAATATTAAATTATCAATTGCTATTAAATTTTTTTGCAACGAAATACGTTATTTTATTCCTCCCGTTGTTCTTGAAACTACCGTTGCAGATGAAACAATAAATTCGTCAAGATCTAAATAAGCAAAACAAGTGGACAGATCAATTATCATTTACGTTTTCCTTTTGATATTAAGAGTTGGTCATTTATTGATTTTAAAAACCTATGCAACTGTCGGGGTTTGATCGTGTAGATACACGATTCTAGTGTTTTTTGAACTAGTAACAGTCGTCGACAGACGGTTGAAAGTGGGCGTTGGCTTTTGAATGCGAGGCCGCTGATTACTCCACAGATAAACACGCCACACGGCATGATTTGCATAAGGCTATGGCTTGGTAATAGCTGATTTGCATAGCTTTACAACTGGTGACCGCTGATTGGTCGGCCGGGAATCACGCGACCCTATATTTGCATAGTGCTACAGCTTCGTAAGCACTGATTGGTCGACCAACCCGCTTTGGACGGCTGTGAAAGTTCATAGAAGTTCAGTTCTGTTTAAGTTAAGTTCACTTTGGCACGTTAGTATATTCATCAGTTTCGTCTAAGGTTGGTTTTGGGACTTCAAGTGTGCATCTGTAGTCGAGGTGAGTCTGCATTCGTCTTGCTGTTTGTTCGTCAACCGCCGGAACGAGATTACTTGTAGCCATAACACGTTGATACGTCGCAAGGTGTCTTCTCGACGAACCAATATCAACATTATTGAACTATTGAACTTTATTTTCATTTTGTGTAATTGGCGTACCGAGTTGGGTGCCAATTTGTGTGAAACACGAACGTTGTAAACTTTACTGCAACCATGTAAGGCATTTAATGTGCACTTCTGATACTAATGCACTCTCCTTTCTATCCATGCTTTTCATCTGGAAACATGTCATGAAACATCCACTAAATTATAGTTTCTGATTTTCTTAATAATTCTAGTTTCTTAGTAGTAGTCGTATAAACTACCTGTACGATTGCTTAGTAGAATCTGTGTAAAATTAGTTTTATACGGATTCTTCTCAAGTCTGACGTAAATACAGTAGAGCGTCGTTTATCCGACTCAATCGGGGACGGGTGTTTCGGATAACGAATTCTGTACGAAAAAATAGTTTAACGTATCCGATGTTGAAATATTTCTCCGTTGCGTGTCGCTTTGCGTTGAATTTTCGTCGATGTTAAGCCTAACATAAATTTTTAAAAATAATAATCGTGGCTATTGCATCGTTAAAAATTATTTCTTTATTTTGTACAAACAAAATACAGTATATTAAAAAACAAAAAAATATAATTTAGAAGTTAATCTAATATTAAAAATGTTTGAATACAGAAACGCGTTACGTACCTTACATAACGTAGGCCTATAATTTAAAACAAAAAAAAATGTCCAAAATATCTTTTGCTTCACAGCTGAGAGTCGCTTTTTTGCCGCTAAATCACTCATACGTCTTAAAAACAGCAATTGGATAGCATCATATTCTTGCTCTTCTAACCTCTTCAGAGCCGTCTCAAGGCAATGAAAAGCTTCCTCACTGGATGGTCCTTTATCAGCACGGTCAGCGTCGTTAGCCTCCGTCTTCCTCGTTATCGCAGGGGTCTTGGTCATCGAGACATTGGCAATGATTTCATCGTCCGACAATATTTGATTGCCATGGTCATTGACATCACAATTAAGCCAGTCTTGAATGTTTTCTTTATCACATTCTTTAAGTCCTGAGCAATCTTTAATGAGGGCAAACAGTTGTGATTCAAATTGGCTCCTTGTTGGCTCTTTAGGTGCAGTGATAGGCTCATCTGATGGTAGGAGCTTATTCCAAGCTGTTGCTAGTGTACTGTCCTTGACAGTAGCCCAAGTTTCTGCTGCCATGTACATAGTATCCTTTAAGTTAATTTCAGCGTACACTTGCTGAATTGTTTTTTCACATTTCTCCCCGATTATTATCATACGCAGCAATGCCTTCCTGTAATATCGTTTGAAGCTTTCAATGACCCCTTGGTCCATCGGTTGGAGGATTGGAATAACGTTGGGAGGCAAGTAAACAACTTTAAACTTTCCGAGATGGCTTGGGGCGTTATCAATTAACAACAAAACATTTCCAGAATTTCCAGTTATAAGCTGGTGCTTTTTGACTTCAGGGATAAATACAGTGTCATACCATTCTATAAAAATGGTTGTATCCATCCATGAATTCTTTTGATTTTTGTAGGTCACCGGCAATTTTTTTATTCTTTTAAAGCACCGCGGATTTCTAGATTTTCCTACGATTAACAAAGATAGCCTGTGTGTTCCGGTAACATTTCCACATACCATAACAGTAATGCGTAATTTGCTTACCTTAAAACCAGGTGCTGACATTTCATTCTTAGAAACTAGGGTTTTTGTTGGCATTTTTTTCCAATACAAACCAGTTTCGTCTGCATTGTAGACATTGGTTTTTTTGTAGTCCTCCTTATCGATCATGTTCTTAAAAGACACTTTCAAACTTTTAGCTGATTCAGTATCAGCGGACAGTTTTTCACCCTGGATGTCCAATTCCCTAATTCCATGCCTAGATTTGAAATGTTTAAGCCAGCCGGAAGTCGCTTTAAAATCAGCTTTACTGCCTAGTTTCTTGTTCATTTGAAGAGCATTTTCGCAGATCAAAGGGCCACTTATTGGTTGTCCTTGGCTACGTACCTGCATGAACCACGTGAAAACTGCAATGTCCAAATCCTTGTTTTCTGCCATTCTCATCGTTTTTCTGTGCAAGCTTCCGTCTTCACTGTCAAGTACACTCGCAAATTTTTTAATGGCATTACTGTTCTTTTTAATGTCCGATATTGTGGCATTTCCAACTCCATATTTCCGAGCTAAGCTTGATCCACTAGCACCACACTTCAACTGATCTATTATTTTAAGTTTATCGGAAACACTGAGAACAACGCGTTTACGTTTACTGGCCATTGCAAACGTTACAACAACTATAGAGCGATCTGTTAAAAGTAAAAAATTTACGGATCCAAAGTTAAATGTTCCTGATGAAAACAAATTTTGATTAAGCACGACACACCTCTGGATACAGAGTCCAAAAATACCAGTGCTGCCAGTTAAAACACATACACAAACACGAAAATATTGGAGTAGCCCAAGACATAGCTAAAAATTGCAGCGCCACAGCACTAGCGAAAATTTAAATTTGCGAACTAAAATTCTTTCGGATAAAGGACGTTTCGGATAAACGACGCTCTACTGTATAGTGTATGACTATTAAGCCGCGGTGACTGGGATACAAACTGCTTAACCGGGGCTTAGGTTTTCCGCGGATTAACTTTGTAGCATTGTAAGATGTGAATCTGTTACAATGGCGGCCTCCGTAACGCTAACACTCAGCGTGGATAAAACAGATTAATTAATACTGTATTTGAATTTCATTGCAAGTTATTGTTTATTAATAAATAAAAGTCTAAATAAATCTTCTATAAATACCTCTTTTAAGTTATAAGCCAGAACTTAAATATTTAATCCGCGATAGTGCATAGCACGTCAATCACGGACATTCGAAATGTCAAAATGACAGCTGTCAACACCTGTCTCGAGTGTTTGAGAGGCCATGCCCAGGTCCATATGATCCAGTGTCAAAAAATTGGGATCCAAGCTTTTTGCGCAGCTTACGCGAATTCGCGGATTACTGGCCCGCGACATAATGGCCCTACACTGTATTCAGTTCATAAGTGATAACGAATTTTTCATAGATTTAATTAGCAGCGTAAATTCAAATAAATTTAAAGTTATATTGATGCTCTTAAACAAAGAAAATTATCAGTAAAAACAATTATAAATGTCGTTTTTTATACAAAAAATGTATGGTAGGACGTTAATAATTCTCATATCAACAATAGTTTTAAATAGCAGTCAGAAAAATTATCAAGCCTTCATTAACATGAACTTTAGTAAAAACTTCGGGATCGAGAATAAATTGGCATTGTTGTTGGACTTCACGTTTTACTAATGAAAATTGTTATGCTGACTTCGTTAAAGAATTATATTACTTTTAAGTACTATCTCAACATTTGTGAAAATTTACTATTTTATTCAGTTGATTTAAATACCGTATTTTTAAATAAGAGTTGAAACAGTATAATGGATTTAGAATAAAACGTGCTGTACAGTACAACACTTCAGTCAACATAAATTTTATGCAATAATTAATTTTTAAACTTCTAAAAATTCTAATGTTTTATTTCGAAGATAATGATTTATGGTCCGTTTCAAATCTTATTTATGAGAAAGTAAAATTTAATAACTTATCTCAATGTTTGATTTATAGTTGAAATCTAAAAAAAAAAAAAAAAAACTGTTTAGAAAGTAATAAAGAAAAGGCTATTTTAGGAACGTTCTTTTGAATCTCTAAATTTCACGTTTATCACTTGTTAACTTATAATGGTTTTAAGAATATAAAGACGCAACTATTAAATAATCAGGAACTGAATTGAACTTTCGATCATCTTAACTCGACTTTGACATTGTAATGCGAGTATTGACTCTGTTCATATTTCAAACTTATTTAATTTCTAATTAATTATATTAAAAGACTATGGTTGTTATTTTTAAAAAATGCTTCTTTTTTAGTCTTCTTAAGATGACTTTATAAATAAAAAACATGAAACATAATTTTGACACTAAAGGCTTTCATATCAATAGGGATTCGTAAACAGTTGCCTGACAATGACACATTCATTTCATAAATTACATTGTTGGGTATTAAATATAAAACATTCAATAACCAGAAATGTAATGAAGTCTAAGGAATCGTAGTTAGTCGATACGAGTTACAACTATTACAAATATTTTTTAAAAATTCATAGAATTTATACATTGAAGTTTTACATTTCCGTAGATATTATATCGATGTTGCATTCTTTATGTTTTGTGAAACCTTACCAACCGTATAACTGAATTTCAAGTCTAATTCATAACAATGGAATGCAGGCTAACACTTCAATGATTTATTCGCTGCTTTAATATACTAAAATTGTACTAATATACAGGTCAGAGCTTCGAGAAGGAGGGAGAGCCAGAGACTTTCTAGGGCCGGAAAAAATTTAGATGCCTTTAGTGGTTCCTACTCCTACAATTTAATTATTTTTACTAACAAAGACTAAAACTTTTAAAACTACTTTTTGTTCTTGTACTAGCTGTTACTCGCGACTTCGCCCGCGCGGATTTTGAAAAAAGCAAAGCCCATTTATATTCAGTATTTCAACAACCATAGTAATCTATATATACAATCGAGACGGAGTGATGATGATAATCAGCGCAGAGCCCAACGGTTAGGAGTTGAAATTTTGTACACAGTTAAGGTACGTCACGAGAACGTGCACTAAGAAGGGACTTTTCGAAATCCCCAGGGGGAGTGAAACAGGATTAAGGCTTCAACAATGGAAGTGTTAACAATGGAAGAAAAGGTTTTTTAAAATAATGTATGTTAAAAAGACTTTTTATTCATTAAAATTTTAGTTTACTGAAGAGGAGCATATTTAGCCCGAAACGCGAGATGTAAGCGCGTATCAACTAGAATAAAGGTGAAAGATAGCCAAGTGATCATTAAATTGCACTACATTGTGTTGGATAAACAACAATGGAAGTGTTAAGAGAAAGCAACGTGCAAGATCTACAGGAACACATGCGGATTTTTGCTGGAAATCGAACATATTTTTAAATCCATCAAAAATTTTTTAATTAGTCTGGAAATGGAGATCCAATTCTTGCATTCTGTGAAAACGGTAAGATTGGCTGTAATGTAATAATCTTAATCTTCGATATCGTTACTTTTTGCCCGAGCAACGCCGGGCTTATCTGCTAGTTGTTATATAACACCTACCGCAGATAATGATGAGAATTGTTGAGAATCAAACGATAATACAATTACAATCGTTTTATAATCGAACCAACATGCAATAACAAATTCGAATTTAAAACGGTTCGAACATTTTGTTAAAAAATCGAAATATATAAAAATATTTATAACAATGTCTGAAACGGTATCAATTTAATACACCCAAGTACTCAATGAAGACTAAACGTAACAAAAAATCGCATCTAAAATACTAATAGTACAGTAGAAGCCCTTCTTCAGGTTAAGCCTTAACTCTCTTCCTCTCCTCCGTGAGAGGAATTTCGAAAAATTCCTTTTTAGTGTGTGTTTTCATGACGTACTCAAATTGTGTACCAAATTTCATCTCTAGGTTCAGCGGTTTGCTCTGGACAATGATAAATCAGTCAGTCAGTCAGGATAAGTAATTTTATATATTTACATAAGCTAACAATGTTTATGCATATGTCAAAACTAATAGCTACGTATCTGGATATTAATTTTGGACTTATCACATCATGTTTCTTAGAAACTTCACTTTGGCTTTTTTCTTTTTATTTTTTAATAAATTCCAGCTTGGAAAAGGGAATAGCAACGTTACGTACAGACATTTGGTATCGAATATATTTAAATTGCCTAAGAAAATAACTGCAATTATTCAGAGATATGATATGATATAAAAATAATAGAAAACATAATTATAAAATTGGCAATAAAATTTAAAAAACAAAATAAAAAATCAAAACCACGCCAAAGAAAAGAAGAAAAGCAATTTTGAGAAACTCTTTTACATTATTGTTTTAAATGTACTATTTCAAGTGAAGAGGAAGTAAAAACCGAAAATGTACAGTACGTATTAAAGTTAGAATTTATTAAAAACTAAAAAAAAAGCCCAAGTCAAATTTCCTAAAAAAAGGTGATGTTATAAGTCTAAAACTAATAGCCAAATATGTAGCTATATAAGAATAAAATAGAAAGAAAAAAGACAATGAGCTATAATAATAAATATAAATTGTTTTCTTTTATTAGTGAAGATACATTTTACGTATTTCATTCGTTCAGAAAAAAGAGGTGTAGCTTAGGAGCTGTAGAGGTGTGCGCGAACTTATATGAGGTCCCAGGACCGCATATAAGTTTTCGGCGGTCATTGATACGGTAAAGCAGTTTCTCAACCTTTTTAAGCCCAAGGACAATAAAATGTCTGAAAAAATTTCACTGACCATTATGTTATGTAGACCTAATTTTTTAAACCTATGTGGAAATTACCAACATTTGGAATATACTATGCCATTTATAACATAATAAATTTAAAAGCATCTTTTAAATAGTGGAAGTGCGAATAGCTTGGGCATTTAAATAAAACCAACAACGTATAAAATGACAAACTGAAACGTTTATTTTCAAATTCAAAATAAGTTTCAGAACTTTTTAAAACTATATTAATAAAAAAAAAGAGAAAGAAAGAAACAACTCCTAATCATTTAAATAATAATTATACAAAAACTTTAGCTTCTGTTTTTGGCAATGGAAAAGATAGCGAGTAGTCCCGAACATACTTATTACCAATGGAATAAACATTCTTAGTCTTGTAAACGTCACAATAATAGTAATTATTTGATAGATCGCTGTCAACTCAACTTGAGTCCAATCCTTCCTTACATTTATGACATTGAATCCAGTCGTCTTCCAAAGTTTTCCCGCAAGTGATGCATTCTTTTTCTTTATCACTATCTTTGTAGAAAAGACTGAGTATTTAATTTTGTTTTTTGTTTTTTTCCCTTGTAAAGTTTCCTTTATCTTTTCTATGTTATTTTTATATGGAGATGATGTCAAAATCTCACTTTTCTATGTTTTTTGTGGGCACATCACTAGGAACTTTTTAGACGCACCAGGAAGAGTTGACAACTGTTTCAACAAATAGTTGTGTTATACTTTGCGTGACTGGTTGATTGACATTATTTTCTTCTATGCTGGTTAATGCTCGATGTCGGTCATCAAACCTAGTAAAAAATCTAAATATCCGAAAATATCACGATTAAAAGGACAAATTCCTGCGCACTTAAATCCGTTTTCGGCTATTTCGAGCCTAGCTGCTTCAGCAAAGGAGAAATCTCTTGTGTAGCAATGTTACTGTGAGAATATGGGCAAAGGTATTGTACCTTCTAATCGTCGGGTCGGTCGGATCCACTCACGGCGTCGAAGGATGGTTTAAAATATAGGAGGGTATTAAATGCGAGTGGGGAGGAATGTCGCGAGTAAGTTCGATTAGGGTCCGTATAAATTGAATGAGTCAACAGGAGCAGTTA